CGCCATATGGATTTATGCTAATTGTCATCTACCCAATCAACACAGTTGGCACTCTCATACCTTCTCTGACTCAAAACAGTACCATAGCATCATGAATTTTTAAAATACTTCATCTAAAATTAAAGATATGTCCAAATAGTTATATTTCCATGTTGTAAAAATGTGCAAAACAGCAATTTTGAATATATTAGGTAAATTTCGAAAGCCTAGATTTTCCTAGACTTTTAGTATGTCAATCTAGATACCTTTCCGAAAAGCACTGTGCAGAAATTATCTCTGTTGCAATTTGTGACGGGTTGGCCCCCCTCTTTTGCTAAAATGACTGGACTAATACTGATACAATTACGGGAAAAATTAACAAATCACGTACGCTTCTACAAAGTTCGATGAAATGCCGTAACTGAAAATTCAACTGGACGCCAGTTGTTTTTATAAGACTAACACTGCATAAAGGTCACATTTGCATATACCTACACGTAAGAGCGAAGTGAAGAGGCCGTTCCAGATTGAATACTCGTGCTAAAATATGACGATAACGACAACTCCACGGAGCTCTAAACTAAATTACATTTTCAACAGTATATGTTTATTGTCATAATTATAGTGTATATAAAGAACTCATCGTGAAAACAAAAAAATAGTTCCACGCGTAAGAAAGTATTTATGAGTACTTCGTCTCAGGCATTGCCTTCTAATCTAGCTTATCTAATTTTTTACGACCCGTATTAAAAAAAAGTAAACAAACTCCACATGACGTCGACATTTTATCGCACCCGAGTAACTGCCTCAGCAACTCAGTTTTTTGTGGCTAGATTATTAGAGTGTTGCTCCCGTAATGTGAACTAGTACATTGATTTATTAGATTAGAAAAGAGCGACATTTTGTTCATCATGAATGTTTATTGACCTTAATTTTCACAGACTTAACAGTTAGGATAATGTGCAATATTTCACACATTCAAAACTGTTTCCATGTGGGTACTATAGTGTATTCTCATCCCACTTATTTTGCTATCTCACTCGATTCCAACGAAACTCAATAATTAGATGCTGTGTGACATACACCCTGATTTCACCTTTATTTCACCTTTATGTCTTATGCATAAAATACAATCCATAAAATATGAACACGACTTACAGAGTATAAAGAGAGTTAAGATAACATTAATGATATCATAGTTATTACATTATCATGTTATACAATGGTATCTAGATTAAATATAATATTTCTTTTGTATGAGTGAAAGTATAATAATAGTACGCAAATTCACAAACAAAATGCACGAATATAAATTGTAGTACAATTAAGTTACATGTTTATTTGCTACATTAATTATCCCGTGTGTTAATTTGCCAGTCATAAAACCGAGTTAATAATCTATCGTGCTGAATGTTTTCTTATTTTAGCATAGAATTGTGGGTAATTTACAACGACTTTCCATGTTCATTGCGAGAATTAACACATTGAGGTATTACAGGGCACCCAATTAGTTGGCAAGTAAATGTTTTCAGGTTATTTGACATTCCAGTTTAAAGGGTTATGTGTGGGGGTACAATTTCAATATGCCAAATATTGTGCCCCATACTATGTTGATGTCTGACTCTACTTGATCGTGTATTCAATCAAATTCTTAACCAGAAATATATATATATGATATATTAGATAGTAGCAATAGAGCATTACGTTTGCCAGTATTAAGGCAATATCTATTGAAAACTAATAAATTGTATAGATCTCAGTCTGGAATTTTCTTATCGAGTACAATTTATTCTAGGACATGGATCTTCAGTTGATGACAGCATTTGCATATTTCTTAGTTGTATTTCTTTAATATATTTGACAACGTGTCCACAATTTCTGTAAAACAAAAAAAAATAAACATAGCATAGTGCGATTAGAAAAAAAAGATTAATTGTGAGTGCAACTGATTATAAAAGTTATTTGTATTCTTTCAACAAAGTTTGTGGATTATGTTGTTGTCGAAATGTATAACACCATTCAACTTGCCCAATTTATTCTTTAATTGGAATGACAGGTGTGCATTGCATTGTCCAAAGTTACCTTGAGGAGAATGTCTGACCAATTGAATATCGTGACACATCTCGGTTAAGGTGATTATTCCATTCATGAGAGCGGTCATTTAGATTAACTGAAGGCTTGATAAAAATAAACTCGCCTTTAAAAAAGGGTCTGTTAAATGGATCAAAGTCTCTGCATTTATCAATTAGATCACCAAATTCATCTGGACAATCGGAATCTTCAATTGCTTCTTTTCTCCTTTCGTTACTGACATATCTCACCACCTCAGAATCAGTCATTCCTAAAAAATAATGTCAGAATCGTTGGGGCATTTGTTCAACTAAAATAGCTAGAAACGATTTCATTTATTTATTTTATAATGTGTTCTTACCCTCAAATGGTTTCTTTGATGTAGCAATCTCCCACATCACAATTCCATAACTATAGAAGAGACAGAACAATGCTAAATAACAACCAGATACATTTGTACCATGAATAAGTAATACTCGTGTTTACTTTATATAAATATGAAAAATTAACAATATAAGTGTCTATATAATTATGATCTGAAAGATTGTTCTGGACTTTTCTGGATGAGAGCTGATTTGTATTTGCATTGACATAGTATTTGTCAGGGGCTTCCAGAGACCAGAGAACACATCGATGAATGCAATGAATACTGAAAATAACAACATTTGTCAATTTATTAAATTTTTCGCATAACATAACAATGAAGTATCGTATTTTAATCCATGTAATACGGATTTAAAATTAACTTTGTAATATTTGTAAGTACACCATCGATGGCAGATCCATCCTTGCTGTATGTACTTGCAGATTTGTTAAGGCGCTGTGGACTGAGTAGAATTTAATGATATAGTTACACAAATAAATTCTTGTAATGCGACGATTACATCACAAAAATTGGGATAGTATAAATGTTTCGACATACATTTTTGTAATACATGTAATTATTCTTGATGTTAATTACTGAAAGATTACCTATATGTTTCACTTTTATCAGTGTATATGGTATTGACGTCAAATAAATGTTCTGGTGCGATGTACTGCAATGTTGTCTTTTTAGGACTGCTTTTATGTCTACGAGCAGAAGATCTGGTTAGAGAAAATCCGCAACCTGTAATCTAGAGTAAAAAGAATACAAAATACTGTTTTATTTAAAATGAAGTCAAAAAACTAACATGCTTGCCAATTTAAAAATAAATGAAACTCATAAAACCAAAATTACTACCAAAGAATTTCCAAAACATCGTGACATGCATCAGTGACTAAGTCTGTGGTGTGTCTGTGTGAAAAAGCCTATGTGTAATATAACGTTTTGACATCATCACGTGTCCCACGTAAGGTAAAAATAAAGAAGAAAGCATATCAGTGATCAAATGAAGGACTATAATGCACGTTCCATATAATTGGCGAATATGATATTGGTTCCCAGGAATGATGTCTTTTTACCATAACGAAAATAAGCTTAACTGAAACATTAGGTTAGTAAAATGATCAGAAGTTAGAGCGAAGAAGCACTTCCTGTTTGCACTCATATCATTTCATATCTATGAATCCATATATATCACAAATATCAATCGATTGTTCATTTTGTGAGTAATTTGCATATTCATGTAATTATCTTTAGTTAACCCAGTATAGTGATGTACACGCCGAGAAGTAGCTAAAAGCCGAATAAAATATATATTACTGGTTCTATCGGAAATTATAACAGATAAAGTTTCAATTTGTAAATTGAAAACAAAAAATCAGATTGTCTAGACCAACATGATAGCGTACTTCTAGTTCACAACTACCACTTCTGTGTCTAGTTCAGTCAAATATGAATAAGGAACAGTTTGAGCAATCACAATTCTGATCATAAGATGCACCCGATACAAGCCGTTACACAAATGTGCAACTATAAAAACGTGAAAAAAATATGGCTTTAAAGGTGGTCATTATCTACATAATGACAGGTAAGGAAGTTACTTACTTTGATGTGTAGATCTTCATTAACAAGGAACTTAATGCTAGAAATTGACCGATGTAACATTGGTGGTTTTGCATTGTGGATTCGATATAAACCACAAGCGCCTTCAAAGGCCATGCGCAGTCGGCGTCTCCAGGTTAAATTGTATCTAGAAGGATTATTTAAAACACCTCGCAGATCCTTTTCTGACATATATTCCATAACAAGGAGATGAGAGTCTATAATAATATTAGAAGTATATGAGAGTATTTAAGCATTCAGTTATATTAAAATACTAGTTATAAACAATTGACATCCATCTGTCAATGGAAGGAAAGTTGTGCCTGGCCTCATCCTAAATCACAGCATTGCATCCCCTGGGCATGAATTTGATGGTGATGTCTTTAGCTTAACAATGTTCCTTATGCCAGGTATAGCAGAATGATTTTATTTGATCTTTGAACATTTTCATAAATAAATCAACACGCAGGCAGAAACAGGTTTTCTAGAAATGTATCTGACTCATTTACATTATATTAACATTCGACTTGAATATCAAGTGTCGAATTACGTACGTACATATTTTTCTTCGCTGTGGTTACATCATCACTTTACATTGAAAAGACTTCAATGACACCATCAACTTCACACTTTTTGGTTTCACTTACACTTCTGTTTCTAAGAGCAGTTTTATGACAAACTCTTTATCATACATTTCTCCTTTAAAGTTGTATCGTCTGACAAATTTATGTTTGTGACTTTGACATGTTAAGTAATATATGTACTATAAATACAACAGGTACGAGATTTGCAAGATATGGGCCTTGTCGATCTGTGAACATTTCCAATGTGATTGAGTTCTCAACATCTTAGGTTGTAATCAAGTCACCGAATCTCACAGTGGATGTTTGAATATTAAATATATACAAACTATATTACAAAATAAATATTTATTTAAATAAGTATTTCCCATTAAGGTTGATCTGAGATACATCACACTCTGAGTTGTTTTCTGAATAAACTTCCCCCCATTCGAATATATGGGACAAATATTCTACTTAAGTTACCACAGCATCCAAGCGAATGTCAAACAGAAACATTGCATACTTCTTTTAGTTGTGTTTATAACACTTCCGATGACACGATTTATTGTTTTGAAGGCAATAAATAACTTAGATGATTAAACAGCGCATTGCAACAGGTTATTTTCAGAAAACATTGAAATGCAGTAATTATCAAATTTGATTTCTGTGCAAATGCAAATATGAGTGGGTCTCAATTAGATGGGAACAATTAGTGAAGATAGTTTAATGTTGGGGTATATTTTGTCATTTTACGTAACATTGCTATTTTCGACTTCCACTTTATAACATCTAGTTTGATTTAATTGATACTTTTTATATGTGTACAAGTATCTTGGGTGGACGAGTAGATGATTAAATTTCGTGACAAAAGGGGACACTAACTGACATATAATTTTGGTGGAGTTGATGAATTCAAGACTTGGGTACTAAACTTAGCTTGTCAGTTAATGTAAACAAAACCAAGGTTATTTGTTTCCCTCACTATGGTGTTTATATAACTATATGCATGCAATTATTATTGGTAGACTGTGCTCCTCTAAAACAGTGGGGCTATTTTAATTGCTTGTTTGTTACAGAAGAACAATACCCTCTAAATAAACAAGGCAGGATGTATGAAAACGAGGAGGCGTGACACATATGGTATTTCATATTATACTTACCAGTCTCTGTACAAATGCCGTATAATCTCACTACATTCTTAGCATTGAATTTCTTCATTTTCTCAGCTTCATCTCTAAGATTCTTAGCTAGCAATGGCCCAGGTGATCTGTGGGATTAAACATGTTTTGGTATTAAATGTGTCAGAATCATAGTAAGCAAATAACACCGAATAAACGGCAAGGTAAATACTACGTCTAATTATATTAAACACATACTGCGGTGCGTGACTCGAACCGGCGCTCGCGTACGGCACCAAATCGCCTAGCTTCACGCCACTACACGTCTTCCCCTCGGCCACCGGGCATCCCCCAAAAAGGATGCTTAATAACCGAGCTTATTACGTGCAGAGAGCATGAAACCCGTCCAGCGTGGCCAGAATGCGGCAAAGGCCTTCAGATCTGGCTGTAGTAGGGTGGTGAAAGTAGTGGTACAGCATCATAACAGAGAATAAGTACTGAGAAATAATTGTAAACTCATAGTTGCTGTCGACATAGGAAGTAAAGTAAGCAAATAACACCGAATAAACGGCAAGGTAAATACTACGTCTAATTCTAGTAAACACGTACTGCGTGCGTGACTCGAACCGGCGCTCGCGTACGGCACCTAATCGCCTAGCTTCATGCCACTACACGTCTTCCGGCACGTCTGCATGTTCGAAACCTACCCTTGATCATTGATTGCTATTCTTTCCAACAAATCTAACCAATCACTGACAACCATGGTAACACAGAGCATGTGTCTCTCCGTAAATTTATGTTTGGATATTTATGCCACTAAATTTAAATTTATTAGCATTTGGTGACAAAAAAGATTCTAATCAACAATAGATGATGATTGATTGATTTGCACATATTTACTTCAGAGGTCAATGTTCAATGAGTCGTACGTGTTGAACCCTAGACCCCTGACTAAACAAAGGGCGTTGTTGAAACCTTAAAGCTTACAAAAGAAGAATAACATTCTGATAAAATGCTTTCAATATAATATAAAACTGAACTGCAAAATAGCGCTCGGGAACGGGAGGATGTTTGCCCATGCTGAAATAACTTTGTGGAATAAAATGCAAGAATAAGAAACGTGAACAAAATGTGGAACAGCAGTACGTGTGTCGCTAAAGGCAAAACTAGACATTCACAAACTGGAAAATAATTTGTTGGAATTCATTACGATTTAAAATGAAAAGGTGCAGATCCTTAAAACTGAAATGGGTTGTACCATGACCCATATTTGTTGAATGTTTTTCGATTAAGACGCAATCAATGGTTACACAAAAAAGCATGAAACGTTTTGACGAAAGATTCCACAATAAGTGTCAGCAACGACCTCCCTCTATTTGGCATTAATAAGTGGGTTTGTCAGTACTTCTTATTTTAATTATTTATGATATGTACAGGACACATACTTCGTAATGTTTCTGGTGCTGGGCGCCAGTATTTCTCAGACAAATTCAGCTATATGCTGATCAGTTTGGTACAGTGGCTAACTCCAATGCCTTGTCTGAAATAGAAACTGGCAGATATTAGTCAGATAAGCGTTGAAGTTTTTTTCTGAGACTGAAAAATCTTGTCGAGAAATTACAAGAACATGACATTTGAATTATTTACACACTTGATAATTTGCAAATGCCACCAATCAGATGGACAAACTTCACAGATGTCTAACTGAAATATGTTATGACAGGTTTCCTTAATTACGACAGACGTCCTTAATTATAATGTTCTGTTCCGCGGGGACCATGGTGACAATGCAAATAATTTGTATACTCAAATGACTGAAACAGAAAAGTTATTGACATCTTGAATTTTCGAGTTGAATGTTACGGCAAAACACTCCACTATCACCTAGTGAGAAGTATTTCATAAGGACTGTGTATGTGACAGTGCCCTCACAGTTTGAATCAGTTTACCAACAGCAAATCGGATTGCTTCGTTAATCAACACGCTTGGCCAAGCCCCGGCCCCCCACTCAAGATCCATAGGGGGCCGCATGCGCGTTCCCATTTTCTCGGGAAAGAGGGTACTTTTTGACGATCTGTCTCGGGAACATTTTCCCGAGAAAATCGTAGAAAAGGGGGTATTTTTTGCTTGTTTTCCCGAGATTCTCAAAATTGGGGGTGTATTTCAAAACACTTCCCGAGATATACAAACAAGCAGCCTATCGGCTGAGATAGCTCCGCTGTTAGCAATGCACATTTCAATTAAAGAACTGAAGACATCATTAGAAAATGAACAATATGAATAGTATTAAAGCAGTCGGACTTACAGTTTTTAACAAGAAGTCGAAAATATAAAATTACAAAAATATTCACCAAAATAAATTAATTAGAGAATTGAAGATATCATCACAAAATGAACAAATCTGAGAGAGGTCCACATGTAGTACCTATATATGTAATATCAAAGCAATCGAACTTACAGTTTTCAACAAGAAGCCGAAAATATCACTTTTTACCAAAAATGGCAAAAATATTTACCAAAATTAGAGAACTGAAGATATCATCACAAAATGAACAAATCTGAGAAAGGTCTACATGTAGTATCTATATATGTAATATCAAAGCAATTGAACTATTGATTTTTAACAAGAAGTCGAAAATATCACTTTTTACCAAAAATTACAAAAATATTCACCAAAATTAGAGAATTGAAGATATCATCACAAAATGAACAAATCTGAGAAAGGTCCACGTGTAGTACCTATATATGTAATATCAAAGCAATCAGACTTGCGTTTTTTAAGAATAAGTCGAAAATATCACTTTTTACCAAAAATGACAAAAATATTCACCAAAATTAGAGAATTGAAGATATCATCACGAAATGAACAAATCTGAGAGAGG